TTACTAGTTTAAAATTTTTAAAGCACTTACTAAATGACTGTGTTTTATTTTTTTTGGTACTAGGAACCAAACTCAAGGCTTGTGCTTGCCAGGCAAGGTACTTGGGTCACTGAGCTATATCCCCAGCTTTTTACATTTTAATAAGACAAAATTTCTTAAGTTTAAAGGAGAAATCTGAACACTGAAGCAAAATAGAATAAATGTGAACAGAATATTCAGCAAAAGAAACTTTGAAAAGGATTTTAGTTTTTGGACTCCTAGAGGCAAAAACAAATGGAGAAAAAGGACCTATAAATTAATGAGACCTGTATGGTTTTGACATATCAGTCAAACACTATGCATGAAACTTGTTTGAATTCTGATCTGTAAAACCAAATATAAAAAGAATTTGAAAAACGATGGGGACACATGAACATTTACCAACTGACTGGACATTTGATATTAATGAATCGTTAATTTTTATGGATGATAATGATTTTGGGATTATATTAATGAAAAGGGGAAGCTCTTGCCTTTTTGAGAATCAACCTGGTACTTATGGAAATATTTCCTTTTATTTTTTTGGTACTAGAGATTGAACCCAGGTCCTCTGTACTGAGTGACATCCCCATTCTTTTTATTTTGTATTCAGACAAGTTGCAAAGTGGCCCAAGCTGGGCTTAAACTTGTGATCCTTCTGCCTCAGCCTCCCAGAGTGTTGGGATTAGAAGCAGCATATGCCACCATACCAGGTAGTTACAGAAATAGTGATAACTTCAATCTGCTTAAATAAATCCAGTGGTGGCACAAGGATAACAGATAGAATGAAATAAGGCCATGTCTTACTAAAAGTTAAACCCAGATGATAAGTACATGAGGTCCATTAAATTATTTACTTCTATATACGTTGAAAATTTCACATGGAGCTGGGCATGGTTCACACCTGTAATGCCAAGCACTCATGAGGCTGAGGCAAGAAGATTACCATAAATCTGAGACCAGCCTGGGCTATACATAGTGAGACCCTGTCCCTCTATCCAAAAAAAAAAAAAATTTACATGACAGAAAGTCTTTTTTTTAAAGGACTATTTGTAACTAAGGTAACTATATATCCATTTTGGTTGTTAAACATCAATTCACAATTAAATAGAAGAGATCACCATAATTTACAAACTCCTTACTAGCTGGTTCCACATGGTAGAAAAAGGGGAAAATGTATTAACTACCTATTTATTATCAAGAAACTAGAAAATCCTTAGACTCTTAACAGTAGTAATGTTAATAACCTGATGAACTGCAGTAACGTAATTCCTCTCCATAACTCTTATTTAAAATTACTCAGCAAATGAAATATCTAACTTTGTAAGGTGAAAAATAAAAGACTACAGGAAAGCAAAAGCCATCAACATATCCAATAAGTAATGCTGTCTTTTGTGAAGAGAAAGCTCATAAAAGACTAAACTACATACAATTTTAATCTAACAGAAAAATGTGTACTAAATGGAAGTATTTTTATTTTTTAAGGGCTTACAAGCATATTATAATGACATATTATCTAGAAGTAGGCCCAAACAAACGTCCAACATTGCCTTAAACATTTCTTGAACGAACATTTACTTTGTTTATACAAAGAAATTCACCTTGTGAGTTTTTTCTCTGCCTAAGGGAAATTAGTTTCAACATCTCTGGTAAATAATACAATTGACATTAAACTTTTTCAATGGATAGAAAAGTAAAATAAAACAAAAGAAGAAGAAGAAAACCTTATTAAGATACTAGAAAAAAGGTTATAATGTAGTAGAAAAAAGTGTGGTAACAGTTACTATAGCCCTTGCTGCTACCTGGGAAAATACAAATCTATAGCTTTCAGTTTTCCGCCTGCAGAAGAGGGTAGATCTAGCTCTCCTGCCAATTCTATTGCCAGAAACAATAATATCCACATATTTCCTTCCTTCTTCAAGTAAAGAATACTTGAGTTTTACCAAACTACATGTTTGACAGAATAGAATACGTTTGCAACTAGGCATAATCATGTTATTAAAATCATAGTGAAAGTGTTGTTAACATTTAGATAAATCTCCTTGAAGACAATGTCAACACCCCTTGCCTCTTTTTCTCTATACTGTAGATATTCTGCTCCAAGGAATAGCTGGAACTTTGTCAACCATCTTAAATATGAAATATCTCATTTAATCAAATCTTTGGAGTTTCCCTATATTCCCTGTAAATTGAAAATAAGCAATCCTTAATGACTCAAAACTATATTCTTATGTTACCATATGACTAAACAATCACTCAATAAATAAGTGACTGAAAAATACAATACTGGAATGAAATAAACAGTAAAAAGAAAGAAAAAAAGCCACAGGTAATGTTCCTACCATTTTCTTTTCCTACGACCGAAAGTTTAATATATGTGGTTTTCTTCCCCCGTAGTGAGATACTTAGTTTAGTTTAGTAGATAAGTTTCATAAGTTCTTTCTCCCTTCATTCTTTCATTCAGCTGGGAAGTGTTAAGCACCTACTACATGGTATACAAAGGTGCCTAAATAAGACAGACAAAGATTCCTATTTTAACAAATCTTACATTCAAGCTGAAAGGTGAAAGGAAATAGATATTTGCTGAAGGAAAAACATATTAACAACTTAGCTCTTCTTCCACTGAAGATACCTTATCATCAAGAATATAAATCAATTGTAATGAAATGCTTTTGTTAAACTGAAGGCTCTGAACAAAACTTAGAAAACTATTTACTATGCAATCATATCAACTGTCTCCCTAGTCAATATTAGTAAAGTGTTTTATTCACATTTAATCTCCCTCAGAAAAATTTTGACACTCTGTTCACAACAACTTGAAATTTATTTTTATACATTAAATTTGAACAGAGAAATGAAACTATGAAAATAAAACCCACTATGAAAACAAAAGTGGGTTTTGGTAAGAAATTTATAAAGGAACTAAGAAGCTAACTGGACATAAATATAGAGATAATCTAGTCAAATCAAGATCTTATTGATCAGTCAACAAAACAACTGAAAATTTTGGTGTCTAAATAAAACATATGGAAGAAAGATTAGGGAAAAGCCAGAGTAATTTCTAAATATACTCAAACATCAATGAAAAAGTTTATACTTCACATCCACTAATAAAAAATAATACTGGGGAGCAGGCGACTACAGCTGTAGAACTAAATATGCATCAGCAAACAACAATGAATACATGTTAAATGATTGAGGTATACAAGGAGACACTAAAACTATACTTCATATCCTGAGAAGATAACAACACAATGAAAGAATAAACTAGAAGGGTACAGAACAAGTCAGTTGAGGGGAACAGAACAAGATCCAAGAGAAGTACAGCAAATTAACTGAGAGCCTAAATGCAATGCTTTCTTCAGGTTCTTATGTATACTGACAAATGGCTCGGAAGCTAATGGCCTTAGTATTTTCCTGAATTGATCTCTACAAATTAAAAAAGCCACTATACATGTAACATTCCATGAAAGATACAATTTAAGCACTCCAAATATGACTCCTTTGAAAAGATATTTTATTAAGTGATTTGTACAAGGGCCATAGCGAAATAAAAGGCATTGCAACATAAAGCAACTGTGGCACATGCACATAAAGCAAATGTACACATGCAAATCACAACCAGCACATATGCTAAAACTGTGGCATAATTTAGAAAGAGAAAAACACAAAATATGGTGTACTCATGATTAAAATCCTATTCATATACAATAATATGATGTTTTCAACATGCTTTACTACATCAAGAATGTTAACTTTATGGGGTGAAAAAATAACCCGTGATGGAGTATCCCTAACACACACACACACACACACACACACACATGTGCACAAGTATACAACAAGGAATCCAACAGTTATTAAATATATCAGGATTCACTTTTGTAAATATGTCTGTCAGTAGTAACTAAACCAACCTTTATAATATTCTGACTATTAAGTATCTGATGAAACTAAATGACAGTTGAATTTATAAGTCTACTTTTTAACATTAACAGTATAGATATCATAAACCTGGTGATAGTAGCTAATGTCATTAATCAATTTCAATAGATATTAAGATCAATAGTAATTCTTTCTATAAGTCGACTTTAAAGGGCAGACTATTTAATTAATAGAAAATAAAGCACAAATGGCACAGCTGTCTAGTCTAGGATCCAATATCTATTTCAGGGAACCTGAGAACACCCTGAAGTTTTACATACAATTCTGAGTAATGACTTTTATTAAATTCTTAAATGGACTTAAATTCTAAAAACGGAGCTTGCACACTTAGAAGTGATGAGTTTACTGTCAACAGAACAATTTCATGAGACCTCAAGATACTCAACAACACATACCTGAAAAACTCTAATTTCATTTTCATAGCGTAAATTTTCTTCTCCCAAAAAGGTTTCCAAAAAACAAACAGCAATAACAAAAACAAAGATGATGCTAAAACTCCTCAAGCCAAGAGATGTTTTAGAAATCTATACACGATTTTCTATTGTTGTCAAGACCAGAGGAAACCCATAAAATTTCACCATTAAAGAGTAAAGAGAATGACATACATTTTCCTGGGTATATCTTTATAAATCTTTTCAAAAGTCAAAGACCTAATAAATTAAGTAGAACTCCTTGGATATTCCCTTTGAGAATCTTAAGGGTGAAATCCAAATGCCACTCTTCCCAACAGATAGGGAACAGGAATCCTCCCATTTCAAGTGGGCAAAGTTATGGTTTGCAGAATACAGAAATGAAAAGCTCTCTATCTCCATTAATGAGGAGGGGGCTATCAGTCTTAGCTGAAGGAGATAAGGGAAAAGTGGGCTGTACACGATAGGTCTTAGATCTTGAGATATGTGGCCCTGCCAGTTTGGTAGCAGAGGTGGTGTTAAAGGTAAAACCTGAACGTCCCGGTAAGAAGCTACGTGGCATTAAGCAAACAGGGCTTGGTCTCTCCCACTCCTGCTTCCGCCCCAACCACTTTCCCCTTTGGTTACCAGTTGCTCCAGATGCCGTACAGTAGTTCCACAAAAGCAAAAGAGAGATTCAGACACAGGAAAAAAAACAGGTTCCGAGACGTCTTGTCCGAAAGGATAGACCTGGAGATGACACAAATATGGAGAGGTGTAGAGTAAAAGGCGCACAGGGATATCGAAGCTGAGTGCCCCTTTCAAGATCCTCCCCGTGCACTCGCTCCTCCCCCCACAGCAGGGACCCGAGGATACTTCAGGGGCGCTCTGTATCCTTAGGTATGGGATTTCTCTCCTGCCCGACAACCCTTTCCCAACCAACAGCACCCCACACCTAAACCAGCCGGAGATCTTGCCAAACAGATTGAACTTGGGTGGTTTGTATTCATCATCCTTGATGGACAGGGGCAACATCTTCGCCCGGCGAAGGGCCGGGCCTACTCCTCTCTTGAAGTGGCTGCTTTAGCTGATGGTAGTGACAGCAGTGCTCAGACGGAAACTCCCAGAGGCGGACAGCGGCCGCGCGCCGCCAGGAGACACAAACCCAGACACACGCCCGGGAACTAGCCGACTTCCGGCCCGGGCCGCGCAACGCGTCCTGGGACTGGGAAGGGAGGGGGCGTGTCCCGGGCGGGGCCTAGACGTGGGGCGGGGCCTACGGCGGGCCTCCTGGGGCTGTTGTGGGTGAGGGACAAAGTGGGCTGCGGGCTGGAGGGACTGATCCGGAGGGGTTTCCGCTACTTGGACCCAGGAAGAAAGTCTTTGGTGACTTGCAGCCCTGGCTGGACGGGAGGTTTAGCGTCTGCTCACGCCCACTCGCACCGCCTACCGCCTGCCAATGTGCCCGGATGCATGGGAGTCCGAGCCAGTCTCGTCTCTAGTCCCCATGGTACTGAGTCCGGGCGCTGTAGGAGCAGTGCCTGCGAGTACGGGTGGCCGCGTGTCCCGCCCCAGGGGCCGGACACGCCAGTGATGGTTTTGCTAGGTGAACACTATGGGAACCCACGCCCGCAAACAGCGCATGGCCCTCTAGCCACGCAGGAGGCCACTGTTCAGTGTCTTTTGAAAGAAAAACTTCAAGGTGTTTTAGGGAGCCTATAAAAAGAGCCTTTATAAAAAGAGAATTACGGTGTGGTGACTGCAGCGCTTCCCCGCAGTAGCAGCCGCAGGAAACCCCGAGACTGCGCGCCCCCTTTGCTTCCAGGTTAACCCCAAGCCCTCAGTGACTTGATACCCCCTTCGGGAGGGAACCCTCCTAGGCCCCTTTCCGGACAGTGTTCGGGGAAGGTCAGGTGGCCCGTCACGTGCATGACAAAAAGTTATTAGGAAAAAGGAGACCTGGCTTTCGGAGGCGGGCTGGGAACTACAAAACCGAGCTTCTTGGGAACGCCTGTTAGCCCAACAGGAAGTGGAGCCTCACCAAGAGGGAGGGGTGACCATTTAGGGACTGTCGCCTGCTGCAGGCGCTCACTTTGCAGGCGGCGCCGTTTCCCAGGTTATTATTCCAGCGGTGAGGCAAGGTGGATGCACGATTGGTTTAGAAAAAAACCGAAAATGATAAACAGGATGTCCCTTCCGCTATGTGCTAACCGAGCTGCAAGCAAATAAATCGGCCGGCCCCGCTGCAATCTCTGCACTCGAGGTGAGGAGACCGCAAAATGCTCCAGCGTTAATTTATTTTTTCCAGTGAGAATATATACGTGTTTTGCTCTCAATCTTGAAACTGCGTGCAGTAGTAATTTGGTGGTTTGATTTTGAAACTGTAGTGTAGTTATTCTGCAGTTTAAAAAATACTTATGGTTTTAAACTGCTGTGTCAAAACTGCTGTAATCCACAAATTAAATTCTGGAATGAGTATTTTCGTCTTTTGCTTTTTTATTTCTTAGCATTATTTCATCATTGTAATTTAATACATAAAAAACTTACAAATGATAGCACTTACTTTTTAAGGAAGCTTTGTATTTACAACATACTTTGAATTTCACTTTATTGCACTGCTAGCAAACCTTAATTATGTTCAAACCAAGTAGATTAATGATAAATATTTCCATTGCAATTGGATTTCAAAACTGCTTTATTTTCAGTGCGGGGAACTAGGAGAGGGAAAATACAGGGAAATAATCAAATCTTAGTAGCAGATTCCCAGTGTTTTCTTGATTCATCAATGTCAGCTGCAATTTGAGCCTATGTTTTTGCATTCTGCCTTTGAAAGTAATTTGTCTTTTATCTTGTACTGCCACAAACCTGAAATTACTCAGCTGGTATATATAGAAACCTGTGTTGCCTTTTTTCCAATAGTTTTGAAATAAGGTTAGAGAAATTGAAGTTCAGTTTCCATTATATCAGTTTCCAGAGACTCAAATGTTCCCACTTGCCACCCCCCAAAGATAGGGATGTAAGTACTCTGGTAAGGACTTTCTACTTTCTAAAAGTGACCATGCCACGTTGCATTTTTCAGGCTTGGACAGCATAATGGCTATATTCAGCAGTAAGGGCTTTTTTGTTTTCAGTTAAATCAAGAAAATATTTCTGTAAATAGAAAGTGTTTTTCTGTGCCCCGTTTCTTTTATTATCTTAAATATTTGGTTCATACATATATATTAACTTATGTGTTTTCAGGTGATGATTCAATTCATTCAGTTGTCGTTTAGTGAGTATCCACCATGTGCCAGTCTCTGTGCTGACACTGGGAGTACAAAGCCAGATAAGTCAAAGTTGTTTCCCTGGAAGTTTAGGAAGAGAAGCTGATGTAAATAAAAAAGCCTTTAGGGAGGGAGGAACAGATTCAGGAGAGATGCTCTTGAAGCAGTGAAGGGGACATCTAAATTACAACGTGTCTTCATATATGTACATATTCCTTTGGCCTTGCAGTAATTAATGTTTTTCATGAAAGAATGTGACATAGGGAAATTAAAAATGAATCTAAGGCTGTAGGTAGTCAGCCTCTTGCCTTCCTCTAATCAGATACAGGAACTGGAAAGTTTCCTGTCCTAATTTTTAGTTCCTTCACATGTTATAGCATTAAGTAGACATGAGTATATAAGATTATAAAGTAAATATAATGTTATAGCATTAAGTAGACATGAGTATATAAGATTATAAAGTAAATATAAAGATTATAAAGTAAATATACTTTATAAGATTATAAAGTAAATATGATGGTTAAAAAAAAAAAAAAAAAAAAAAGCATTTCCCAGACATGTGATGGGAGACAGTAATGAAGCAGAAAGATTTAAGGGGCAGAAGCTCATCATTCCAAAAACGCCTTTCTAACAGCAGTCAGCAAGAATGAAAAGGATGCCATTATGTCCTCCTCTGTAAACTACCTTGCCAGTTCTTGCAACCCTACTTTAAACCCAGTGGTTTTTTAGATGCTTCAAATTGAATGTCCGGTGAACATCTGATGAAAAGCAGATTTGTAGTAGTGGATAAGAGTGGAGGTTTATGTAAATCTAGAAATTGAATACAAATGCAAAATATATATGTGTTCAGAGGTTTTACTATGTGGCATATATACCCTGGTTTCAAATGTGTAGCATTAGATAGCTGGGATAGTATCAGTTTATGCTGCTTCTTAACCCTCATGAGAAAGATAAAAACAAAACATGTAATGATGTTATAACCAACCAGGAAGTCATTATATACTTATTGCCTAAATGTGATCCTTAGAACACAGATTAGCAAATTCTGATTTAAAAATAAAGCAAAGCCTAAGGACAATGGCATAAAATTCAGTGTTTTTAAAAAATTTTCCTGCTGACTTGAAATGTCGCAGAAAACTTTTTCATTTCCCTTCATAGTGCCACAAGGATCTGTTCCTGTCACTCACCGAAGTCTGAAGGAAAGTTATTTAAAAAATAATAATAGCATAATGAGGTAAGTAGCTGAATTTTTGGGGCCTTAAAAAAAAGTGGTAAAATACATATAACAAAATGTATCATCTTAACCATTTTAAGTGCTCAGTTCTGTAGTGACAAGGATGTTTACATTGTTGTGTTATTCATCTCCAGAACTTTTTCATCTTGTAAAACTGAAATCTCATACCCACTAAACAACTATCTGTTTCCTTCTACTCCCTTTTCCTGGCAACAAGTCTGCTTTCTGTTTCTATGAATTTAACTGTCCTCAGTACCTCATATTAGTGGAATCATGTATCACTTGTCCTCTTTTGTGACTGAACTTCTTTCATCTACATAGTGTCCTCAAGGTTCATGTGTATTACAGCAGGTACCAGAATTCTCTTCCTTTTTAAAGTTGAATAATATTTCATTGTAAATGTATACCTCATTTTCTGAATGAATTACCATTTATCAGTGGACATTGCTTCTGCCTTGTGCTATTGCAAATAATGCTCCTAAATAGGTGGGTGGAATAACAGTGTTTTAGATCTGAGAAAAAATATTTCTATAGAAATGTTTTTGGCCAAGTATGGTGACACATGCCTGTAATCCCAGCATTTGGGAGGCTGAACCAGGAGGATCATCATGAGTTCCAGGCCAGCCTGGGCAACATAATGAATCCTAGGCCAGCCTGAACTACATAGGAACACTCTTGTCTAAAAAAGAAAAGAAAAAAAGCCCAAAGAAGTGTTTTTGTTCCTTAAAAATAAAAGTCCTTACTTGAGCCAGGGCTTGGAAAGCAGTATAACAACTCTTCCAATATAGATCCATTGAAATACTAGTCTGATTATAGAATGAGCTCAGTAACTATACTATTTTGTTTGTATTTTTGCTTTTTGACTTCACCCATGCTAAGTATGAACTGTACTGCTAAGTTATAGCCCTAACTCTGATACCTATGATTTTTTTTAATTTATAAAGTGTTTTTTTATGAACTTAAAATATTCTTAAGACTAAAATAAAGCTAAAACTAGAACAAAGGCAAAGAACAGAGATAATAAATACAAAGATGCTCGAGTGTAAGTTAGGTGTTTGGTTCTGACCCACTGTTATTCCTGTGGCCTAGGTAGTTCATTGAGTATTCTCAGCCTTAGCTTCCCTACCTACAAAATGGAGTGGATATATTTTTATTTTCTTTCTTTCTGAAAACTTGAGACATTACTGATTAGAGGTATGTGTTGTGTAATGTAAGGGAAGGAAAGCTTTGACGATTTTCATGAGTATTGCTAAGCTCAGCAAGGACAGGTACTATGTCTGCTCACTGTGTCTTACAGTCCTAGGTATATGGCAGGCACCTATAAATTTTTGTTGACTGGATGGACCAACCAAGTATACTTTGACCTTGCCTAAAAAAGTGAGAAAGCTCACATAAATTGGCAATGTTTCCATCTTAGGTCTGCTATCTGAAATTATTCATAAGCCGCATATATGATATCTGTTTCTCTCAGATAAGTGGTTTGTAAGATGTTGAAAACCAGCATTGAGTAAAAGGGAGAAGGTTCTATAGAACATTCTAAGGATCTGTTGCCTTGTAGCATCCCCCCCACCATTTTTTTGTGTCTAACACAGCAGTTCAACAAAAAGTTCCAGAATCTTAGAATAATAAAAGTAATGTATTTGTAGATGTACTTGGCTTCTTTTTGACCCATTTCTGGAACTAATCTTGCATTGCGCTGTACAGTGCTAAGCTAAAAATGCTTTTCTTGCTTTCTTCTTAGAATGCATTCAATCCTTGCATTCTTACAAATCATTAGTATCCTCTTAGGAATCAGGCCACTCTTATTCCTGCCATGGTATATGTCTTATAGATTCCAAACATCACCATCATCAATAGCTACAATTAGCTGGCAATTCCAAAAGAAAGGGTACAAGACTGGAAAGAGCATTCATCTCCTAATTCATACTTGTGTACTTGTAAAGTAGAGAGGACCTCATTATCTCAGTGACACCTGGCTGGATTGAAAGGGACAGGTGATGCTTTAAAAAAAAATGTCACATGTAATCTTTGTTATTTCCCCATAAACCAATAAAATGGACTCCAACAAATTGGATAACATTTTTGAGAAAAATGTATTGCTTTGTATTAGAAAACAAAAAGGAAAAGCAGAAAATGCCAAGATTGGTGAGCAGCTTTTGCTGTAGATTATGAGTGAGATCCAGAAGACATACAGAGACATGGATACATAGTGACTGATATCCCTATTTTAAATGCTGCCTTGTTCCTTCTAACCTGGTTTATGCATGAAAAAAAGTCTCATTCAACCTGGCTGCTGGCAGGAGGACTTGATGTGTAATGTAATCAGAGAAATACTTTTCTACAGCTTGCATTGAGAAATGATCTGTTGCTGCAGCATTTATCTATTCAAATGTAACAGTGTAGTAAATATAGCTATTTCTCAATATGTTTTAGCAGGATTGTTCATGAGCTGAAATTTCAAAAACATAGTAAAAGCAAGACTAGGCCTTGTAAATGACAGAGTTTAATTTGCATAAGATAACCAATTACCATATATATATATATATATATATATATATATATATATGTATTATATGTATATCTCCACTTATCCAGTGACTAGAAAAGATTGAGCACATTATCCCAAATAGTTCACAATATAATTATCCAGATTAAGATGATCCATTCGTGTACCATATAATTAATAGGTTACAAATACAGTAAGATGGACCCTTTATTATAAATTTTTTCCCATTCATGTCTTTTTTTCTATAGACATTAACAAAATAATTTACACTATTTTTGGTGTATTTAGAAAAATCTTCTAATAGTAGATGGTCCCTTTAGGAAAAAACAATAAGAAAATCATTTAGGAAGGTGAGGATAGATTTGGTAGAAAATGAGAAGAGCTACGTGGTATTTCTAAAATAACAGTGAAAAAAAACAAATTTCCTGGATAAGGATAAATCCTTAAGTTTAAAACTCTTCTAGAATACTGTGTAACACTTAGAAAGTATTTGTGAAGAAAAATGACTTTTTAAATACTATTTCTGGCATTCAGTATTTTACAGTTATGCTGCTTAAAATTTAGTGGAAGCTAGGTGTGGTGGAACATACCTATAATCCTAGCACTCTGGGAGGCAATTTAATGAGACTGCGTCAAAAAATAAAAATGAATTGGCCCTATCAAAGAATAAAAAAGGATTGGGGATATGGCTCAGTGTAAAGGTCCTGGGTTTAGTCTCCTGTACTTGGAAAACTTACTATAATAGAAATGGGGTACTGTAGCTATTAGGGTTAGTTTTCTTTTTCTGCCAGTTTTCTTAATATCTATAGCAGAAATAGGGAACCTTTTAGAGTTTTCATTGATAACAAACAACAGGCGGTGGCATGCGTGCCCTACTTTGGCCACCACTAGTCTGTAGTTTTGTTACTTTTAGGACCCAGACCAATTTTCTCTGGTCAATCAAGTAAGATATTTTTGTCTATTTGAAACTTGTATGCTTCTGCCTGTATATATAATAAAATTTTGGATTATTCTTTCTTAAACCTTCACAAGGATAATATTATCATAACAAAGGGTTATAATTCCCCCACTGCAAATTGGTTCAGTCACTAAAGAGCTTCCATTGAAACAAGGATACCTTGTTTCCTTGAAAGATACCTCAATGAAGAATATATTTGCAAAGATTTGAAAAGGCAAAGATCTGAGACATTTTTAACCTATCAAATAAGTTGGTCACAGATCTGAAAGTAGAAACATGCCTCCTTTGATACAGTCTTGGGGTCCCATTTTGTGACTGGCTCTCCTGGTTATAGGTCTTTTATGTAGAGAAGGTTTCTGAAGTTTTGTTTAGTCAATTAGGCTTTAATTTGCGCTTATGCTGTTAAAGTGTTAAGTATATACTGGAGGAAACTTAACTTCTTTAATAAATGGTATTGGGGAAATTGGCTATCCACATGCAGAAGATTGACTCTAAACCCGTAGTTCTCATCATGTACTAAACTAAAATCAAAATAGATAAAATAACTGAATGTTAAGACAGAAGCACATAACCTGCTGGAAGATTAACACAGGGAAAACTCGAGTCATAGATACAGTCAAGGACTTTATGAACAGAACCCCAGGTGCCCAGGAAATAGAATCAACAAATGGGATCAGACCAAATTAAAAAGCTTCTGCACAGTGAAAGAAACAACCAAAGTGAAAGATAATATGCAGAAAGGGGAAGAAATTTTGCTAGGTATTCTTCAGAAGACTAATAATCTGGACTACATAAAGACTTGCAAAAAATTAGGACTCCCCCCAAGTAAAAGAACCAATTAAAAATGGGAAAGGGAAATGAATAAACAATTCATTTCAGAAGTACAAGGCCAGCAAATACGTGAAGAAATGTTCAACATATTTACTGGTCATTTGGAATTAGAGAAGTACAAATTAAAACAACATTGAGATTCCATCTTACCCCAGAAAGAATGATCATCAACAAGAAAACAAATACTACTACACGCTAGAGAGGCTGCAGGGGAAAAGGAACTCTTCTACATTGTTGGTGACAGTGTAAACTAGTACAGCTACTGTGGAAATCAGTGTGGAGATTCCTTAAAGTACCACAGGGCCAAGGATGTAGCTTAGCACTGTTAGTACCTTCCTAGCAAGTGTGAACCCCTAGGTGTAGTTCCTGGTCAAAAAAAAAAAAATTAAAAATAAACAAATTCTAGAAATCCCATTTGTCCCAGCTAGTTACATATCTTCCTAAGGATTCATATTATAGAGATACATGCATACTTGTTTATAGCAGCACAATTCATAATAACTAAACCCTGAAAATAGTTCATATACCCAACAACAGACAAATTAATTTTTAAAATGTGGTGTTTTCATGGAGACAAATGAGTCAGTTGTAGAAAAATTAATTTACCTTGAAACCATAGTGTTAAGTAAAGTAAATTGAACACATAGGCTTAAATAGCACAGTTTCTCTTATATGACAAATCCAAAATATAAAGACCAAAATAAA